ACACTAGGAAAGCACCAACACTTTTTGAACCGAACCTAGGTATGTTACATGGGCCGAGACAAATATTTTTGTGGCATGTGATTGTTTTGCACCTCTTATTCTATCTGTAGTCATAGGGATCTTTGAATTTTACTGCGTTTGCGTGCATCTTTTATATGTTTTCACCAAGTTACCACTTGTAGGAGCATTTTGGAGTTTAAGGAAAGATCATCATATTATGGTGGTGAAATCACATCAATGAACGTGATAGGATACTACCATAAAGGCTGTAATTACCTAGGAGAAGAAGGAGGCCACACATCAGCATCCAGAGCACAAGACGACGCACGCTCGCGCCACATGCCATTGCCTGAGCTTGGTCAACTATTCACCCCTGCATAGACGGATCGCGAATCAAATACGCCTAGCGACCAGAACGAAGAACCCTGGCATTTGGAAGGATTTTGGAGGGGGAATTGATTAAGGGAATCCATCGCTGCATCACCACATCGAGAGAGCATCATCACCATCCGTCTTTATCATCACCATCCCATCTCTCTTTGTAACACATTATCAGTGTAGATTCACTCTTGTATTACTTGGACGCTATCTCCATGTTCACCATGGTTCATCCCAGATGTTTACACCCTCAAGTGCGAGTAGTTTCCCTAGTTCTCAGGGATATGGAGGAACCCTAGTATGTTTAAGATTGAATGATAATGACATCCTATTTATATGTTTATGTTAATGATTATCTTGATGGTTGGGTAAAGTCGACCATCCAACATATGCCTCCTTTGGAGGCAAGGTGTTATTACTATGGTGTTAAGGTCGGAAACGGAGGTCAGTAGTGACAGTGCTTACCGCCCTCCTTTCTGGATCATTGCAATAGGGGACAAACAGAGACCGCCTTACCTATGTCCACGGACAAACCCTTAATTACCATTCTGTAACTGAAGTGAGGATGAATGGTGGTGGTTTGTGGGATAAGGGGGTACTGCATGTATGCACGTATCTATACTTGGCTTCGTCCACTTGTAGAAACATATAAAGTGAATTAGGAATGCGACTACGAATTATGCTCATGCATCGGTCGCCGCAGTAGACGCATACTAGTGGGGAAGCTGGACTCCCTGAGAACGCTTTAGTCCTATCGATTTCAACAACCGTTATTTACATCTCACACTCTTTTGTTTACCCTTGCTCTTTGTTACCATGTTTGCAACAACCTCCCATTACTTTAAACTTCCGTTTCCACTTTGTTTGGACAGTAACTAACTTGCAGGCACTATATTTTACTAAATCACTACAAGTGACAAAGTCCAATTCCTATGCTCCATGTCATACCGATACTCTTACTTTGAAAAGGTTACAACTAAATCCTATGCACTTGCAGGACATCGTCGTGCCGGTCAGAGATCGTCACGTGCCTTCCTGTCCAATGATGAGGGAAACCAGTTTCTACAAAACCAAAAGGATGGGAACTAAGGGCGTCTCCGGGTCGTGCATGAAATCAAACACCCCAAACATCTGCAGACACGTCCCAATGTGTCCGCGGACAGTGGTTACCCGACCATCTAACCGGGTGCACAAAATGTTGTCCCTGGCCCCGACCTCCTCCATTTGACATGCATATGTAGATCAATAGAAATTTAACATATGTAAATACAAGTACAAACATATTTAATCACAAGCAAAAAGCGCCAGATGTCCACCGGATCATCGTCCGGGTGGTTCTCGTCTTGCTACCTGATGTGCGTCTGCTAGATGTACGACATGTGGGTGTGCGTCTGATGATATTCCTCCACTTGCACGTCTTCATGGCCACCACTATCGTGGATCATGTTCATCAGTGTTCTGTTTTTGACAGA